GAGCCCCTGTCTCAAAAAATTAAAAAAAAATTAGTTTACTTTTGTTGTGATATTAGAGATTTAAGGCTTAGTCCTAACATTTATTTGTTCCTGGTGAGGGTGTCAGGTGACTGGAATCAGGGTGAGAAAATATCAGACAAGGAGAAACCACAGCATGAAGGAAAGACTCTGTCAGGAGCCTTGCTTTCCCAGGTCCCTCTTCCCTTCTTCATTTCTCTCCTCTCCCCTCCCTTCTCATCTCCTCTCCTCACCTCACCTTTCATCTCATCTATTTTCTTTCTTCTTTTCCCTTCAGTTTGTTTGCCTTCCCTTCCTCTCTCTTTTTCTTACCAACCTTCTCCTTCTCCTTTCTTTCCCTTTCCTCTCCTTTTCCCATTCTGTTCCCTCCCTCTTCCCCTTTTGTTTCTCTCTATGTCTCATTCTTTCTCTCTTTTTTACCCTTTCCTTTTTTTTTTCTGAGACAGGATCTGGTTTGCAGCTTATTCCATTTCCCAAATGCTGGAATGACAGGCATGTATCAGTACGTCTGCGTACACAGGAGCACACCAAGGTCTCAGAAAACCTAAACTAATTTTCTTCGATGGCAGTGCCCCCAGTGACTTAATCAGCCTGCCTAAACTCTACAATAAGTAACCCCCTAATACCACCACAACAATTCTTAAATGAAAATTTCATATAAGCCACAGTACCGTGGTGTTGCAGGCCGCTCACTTAGCATGGGTATAAAAGCTCACACCCCAGCTTTATGACACACAGTTTCCTGCTCTCTCTCATCCAGCAGGAGCTCACTAATCTCCCATGACTCTTCTTGCCTTTCCTGGTGTTCTCAAGGTTATCTCAAATGTGCAAGGACACGCACTTAGCATGCACCGTCAGCCCAAGTGTCATAAAGCAAAGCCAGCTGTGTGCTTCCGATGACAGCTGAGGCAGCTGCCACTCACTGGGGCCTCAGAGGCTGCTGCTGGCATAGTACTCACTATCAGTGCCCAGCCCCCAATGCTTACACTGCTGCATTAATTCTCCTCAAGTCCTGGCATGGACTTCCAATGCCCCCTCAATGCCTCGTATTTTGTAAAGGAAGCCTTTAGTGTGAAGGAAGCTTTTACTTCAGCTCCATGTCTCCCTGTACTCAAATGGGACTTCACAAGAATGGCCTGGAGTGTAGAACAGACACCATAGGGATATAGTTTTCTTGAAGCCAAGTCTCACCTCTTACAGATCAGGTGTTATTGTCAAACTGGAGTCTTAAGACATTTTATATCTCACTCTTCCCAGCCATGAGTACATTTGGCAAAATGTGGAGATACTTTTGGTTGTGACAACTGGGCTAGAGGGAAGCTGTTGACCACAGTTGGTGGGGCCTGGAGTGATGTTGAGGGCTGGAAGGAGGCTGTTGACCACAGTTGGTGGGGCCTGGAGTGATATTGAACACCATTCAGTATACAGGACAGCTCTTTTCAGAAGGTCCTAAGTTCATGCCATGATGAATCTGAGAAACCATACCTAAGCTGAGTTCCATGCCTAACAGAACAGCACCACCTGCAAACAGGCCCAGGGGAGCCTTCTCTAGACCTCCAGATCTGTTTGGCTGTGTCTGACCATATCAGGAACCTAAGATGACCGATCCTTCCCCACAACCATTTCCATGTGGAGTTTTGGTGAAGTTTCCTCTACATCTTTCTAATACAGCACCATTCTTAGCAGTGAAGCTTATACAGCAAGACTCAAACTGTCAGATTTGATAGCCCCATCCCTCCTGTTGCTAGGGTGGCCAGCCCCAGAGACAGGTACCAACTCATCCTGAAGGAACTAGATATGTGCGTTGCTCCCTGAACAGCTCTCAGAGGTCATTGGAAAGCATTTTCTTACCTCTTATCTAAGACTTTGAGCAATGGTCCTCACACGTCTATAACTAGCTCAGTCCTCAGACTAAGGACAGAACTCACAGAACAGGACACTGTGACTTTGATTTCTCAGGAAATAAAAATACAGATAATCATAAAGGACTGTGGCACATGTTTTCTGCCTAAAAATGTATCCTAACTAGTAGGATGATTTTATGGGGAAATCATCCTACAAATATATGGTTTTTGTGATGTAAAAATTTTCAGTTTCCAGATTGAGGTCACAGTATTGGGGTTGTTGAGGTAATCCGAAGCATCTGTGGACATAATGTGCTCCCTGAGAGGGGCTCTCATGCCCCCTCCTCATTCTATAGTATGAGTTCCCTATACTTATTTTATAGTTTCTCCTACCACCCTACCACAGTTTCCCTGAGGACAGGCTGCTAGAAGCAGGCCTGTCCCTCAGTAATGTGCATAGCAAATGCTTAATAGCATAAAACTGGAAGTCTATATATGGCCCAGGTCAGTCGTTTGTTACTTCTTTTTAACCTTTATCTCTGAAAGGGACATGTCTGCATACAGTCACCTAAGTACACATATTCCCGTACACTTTTAAGGGCAGGGTGACCAAATGGGAAAAGTTTTGGAAAACACAAAGACCATTCAGATAGCAGTAGTGGGATCTGCACAATCCCATATTCTCAGGGAGCACTGAGTGGGTCATGGTGGGTAGCTTGACTCCTGCCTAGGAGATGGGAAACATCCTCAAGGGCAGCCATGCCAGTCCCACTTGTTGTTTAAGATTCCTTCGCAGAGTGTCTAGCATGTGGCATATTGTCAGCAAACGTTTGTTGAATGAATGGAGAAAAGCATTCACAAACAGCTAAAGTGGAGAGCTGGGGGCAGACACCAGCTGGATTTGCCTTTCTGATATCCTGACCTGACCATTTAAGGGATAGGCCTGATCCATCTCCCTTGATTGAAAACCAACAGAGAGGCAGCAAAAAATATTACTTGGGGGGCAGGGGGGAATGCTTTAATTCAGCCACAGCAGGTGACTCCCTCCTGATTCTGGGATGGATCCCCTTGTACTGCTGAATTCCCCATGTCTCTCTCTCTCTCTCTCTCTCTCTCTCTCTCTCTCACACACACACACACATACAGAGAGAGACAAACACAGTTTTAATTCCTCCACCACCTGACCTGTGTGCATGATTTCCTTCCACCCTGGCAGAGGAAGTGGACGAATTATCTGGCAGGTTTGCCAGGGACTCTCTGAGGCACACCTGCAGCCAGGCTGAGTCTGTGTGCCTGTTGCTTAGTGTCAGTGTGACCTTCCCTACAAGTCTGGCTCTTGACCCCACCTCCCAAGTCCCAATCCAGCCTGAGAACTTACCACACTTCCCAAGTTCTAACCTGATGAGTTTATTTAGGCTCATTTTATCTGCTAAGTTTATTTTTCTAGGGCAAGAACCATACCTTCTGTTGTTTCAGATGCTTTTCAGCAACTCCAGGAATGTGGCTCTTCCTTTTTGATGTTATAACAAAAAACACCTAGTAATTTGACCTCTGTAAGTAGGGCCGAGATATTTCTGGAGTCTATGACTTTGATTATTATTTGAATATCAACAATGGAGGGCACAGGAAACACCAAAATATCTCAAAATACCACCCCACCAGCAGAATTTCTCTACTTATTGGCTCCCAGGAAACACCATTTCACATTATCTACATACACATATATACATTTATGTATTCATACAGTTACACACACACACACATTTGAAGAGCACACCTTCAGAAGAACTTAGCAAATCAGATAGACATGGTATTTGAAAGAACAGGACAGAGCATGCAACATATAGTTTGTTGAAGATTAGATCTAGACTAGTCAAGGGCCAAACACCTGGTCCTGGGAGAGCTGAGCCAAATGGCTACTTTGTCAGGACACTGAATCACTAGATGCTGAGCAGAGCAATAGGGCCGTGGTGGCTTTTGTGCATGGAAACCTACTCTCAGAAGCTGTGGTGCCTTGAATAGGTATGGCCCCCATAGACTCATGTGTTAGAATGCTCGGTACATGAGGAGTGGCACTATGAGGAGGTGTGGCCTTGTTGAAGTAGGTGTGGCTTTCTTGGAGGAAGTATGTCACCAGGGGGCATGCTTCGAGGTTTCCTATGCTCAAGCCTCGCCCAGTGTAGCACACAGTCTCCTTCGGTTGCCTTCAGATGAAGACGTAGAACTCTCTGCTACGCTAATACCACGTCTGCCTGCATGCTGCCATGTTTCCTACTATCATGATAATGGACTAACCCTCTGAAACTGTAAGGCAACCACAATTAAATATTTTTCTTTATAAGAGTTGCCTTGGTCGTGGTGTTTCTTCACAGCGTTGGAAAGCCTAAGACAGTGAAGACTCTCTGCAGGGACTGTGGCTGAGCGGAGTTTTCGGTTTTAAGTCATACTGTTACACCCCAGGCTCATCATCTTCCCAGGCCTGGGGCATAACAGTACGTTCCAGGTGTACAGAAATCTTCAGGTCTAGGGTTGTATATGTCTGCTTCATCAGTTCATGAGGGCAGGGGTCTCTTCCCACCTGCCTGGAAGGGTGGGATGAACACACAGTACATGGTGCTCCCTTAACAGTCCTGATGATGTTGGCTATTTCCAAGGCTTCCCAGAGTCCGGAACCAAAGTGTGGTGGTTTACTGTGGATCATTTGGTAAGGAAGCCTGTGTTGTTTGTCTTACACAAGGGAAACATCCACAGACAAAGCTTCTCATTTGCCTTCTCTGGACAGTAGATTTCTCATTTGTGATACAGAACCAACGTCTTAAACCCCAGAGACTTCCCGGAACCCTTTCCAGGACAACCTGAGGTCCCATGATGGCTAATACAGTGGAAGGTTGACGCTAAGGTCTCTTCCATTTGATGTTCTATTGACCACATCTGTATATTTAAATGTATTGGTTTTTCTGAGAAGATAAATCAAAATTGAGTGTCCAACCAGGGTTCCTTTCTCTTCTGTCTTGAGTTTACTTTAAGCCTCTTTTCACTTTATAAAAAATTAAAGAAAAAGAAGAAGGGGGGGGATGTTGGTTTGTGTCTTCCTGTAAATGTACAGACTGAACCAGACACATGTGTTTTGTTTTCCAGGGAGATGTGTATCCAACAGGATGGGAGAGTTCATCTCACCGTTGTTTACTTTGGGAAAGAAGAAATGAATGAAGTCAAAGGAATACTTGAAAACACTTCCAAGTAAGTGCCATCTGATACCATCACCAGGAGTCAGAGTAACAAGAATAGATCAGCTTAGTTTATTCAACACTGTGTGTGCTGGGAGGCTGACTGTTGGCTGTGCATAGGAGAATCCAGAACCCTCCCTCCCCAGGAGACCACTCTGTCTGACACTAGTGTTAGTCATGTCAGGATTCAACAGTAGACAAAACTGCCATAGGCAGTTAGAGGTGTGGAACATGGGCTTCTGGGAGCTCATGCATAACTGAAGGTAATCTCTCACCACAGGTTCAGGATTTTTGTGTTTGCAGCACCAGATTAGGGAGAATACAACTGTGCAGTAAGCTCCATCTCAGTCACTGTTTGACAGCCTAAGAATATTGCTCAGGCTCAAATTTCAACCATACAGCAATCAGTCCCACACTTTCGTCTTTGCCTTTCATCCACTATTCATTTAAAGATATCAGGGGCCACCCAGAAGGGGTTGCTGAGGCAGGATACTTGATTAAACTTATCCAGCTGAATAGAAATTACTTAACTAAAACCCTTAGGCGTGGGATTCTATGTTTATAACTCATTGGTCAGTTGAAGAGTGTACAGGGGTATTCAGAAGCAGGAAAGATGGAGTCTTTTTCTCTTCCATGATAAATAACCCATGGCATCCTGTACAAATGAGGAAGCCAGCATAGTACGTTCATGCTCCATGCTTGTTTGCTAAAGAGGTGTGCAGACTTGGCTGAGAAGTCACATGGTAACTCTGTTATCTGTGAAGCTTGAGGGCTTTAATAGTTCTCAGTGGCAGAACTAGTCTGAACAGGTCCACATCATTTAGACACAAACAGGACAGTCTGTTTTGAGTTTCTGGTAAATGGTAATTGGATGGCAATTGAAGAATGAGCTTCAAAGATGGAGAATACTTCCAGTGTTTATCCTTATGCTGTTACCTAACTTGTATTAATGGGAACAATTAAAATTTCAAACATCTCGAAAACAGTGGTCATCCGCTATAGCCTTCTGACTAAATTCTCCCTTTCACACATACACACATCTGTTTCTGTAAATAAAGTTTTATTGGATGTAGCAGGTCTGTTGATTTACATATTATTTATGGCTATAAAACTCACAAAGCCTAAACAATATACTATCTGGTTCTTTGTAGAAAAAGAAAATTGTTCACCCTTATTTTAAAGCATTAAGAGTTAAAAGTAATAAAGGCTGTGTGTGAGGAGGATCAAATGGAACAAAAATAATTGGATACTCTGAATGTGACTGAAATAGAGATGTTCTTGACTCTAATGCATTGCAGTATCTATTCCCTCTCTGCTCAACAGTGGAGAGTTCAGATGGTTAGGGTTCATGTTCGCTGCCCAACGGGCACATGTAAGCATTGTTGCCAATACCCATTCTTGGACAAAACTATCTTTAAAGTTTTCCAGGAGCTTCAAACCTGCAATCAAGATAGAAAAGGAAAGGTGGTGGCCGCCCCTAGGCGCTGCACCCTAAACTGCTGGCAACTGCTCCATTCCAAAGTATTTTAAAAGTCGCTCAAGGCTTACAAAATTGGCAAATCCTATCCTATTGGGTTTGGCACTTTTTTCATACCTCAAAGGATGTTGGGATACTTGCTGATGGTTACACGGATGAAAATTTGTGAAAACCTCATGCATAAATTAGAAGGCTAGTTCAGACATGTTACAGGAAATGTTTGTAAGGACTGGAAGGCATAAGTACTTTTCTCAAGCAGTTCTCCCCATGTCAGGTTTCCACGTTACCAAATGTCACGAGCATGTGATGCCATGAACATTGTGTGACACATCTGTGCCTTCCTACAATGCTCAAATTTATTGAATAGTGATAAATTCACAAGATAAAATGATTTTAAAGGTTATTTTAATAATGTGTGTAAGCATGTTTTACTTGTGTATGTCTATAAACACTGTGTGCATTTTTGGTGCTCTCAGATCCCCTGGAACTTGAGTTACAACAGTTGTGAGGTGCCATGTGGGTACAAGGAATTGAACCTGGGTGCTCTGCAAGAGCAGAAAATGCTCTTAACCACCATCTCTCCACCCCATGGTATAGCAACTATAACGGTATCAGTTAGTCAGATAATCTTGTCTACTTTGGTAATCTAACAGAGGCATATATATATATATATGTGTGTGTGTGTGTGTGTGTGTGTGTGTGTGTGTGTGTGTTCTTTTCTTCTAATCTTAATTTCTAATATGAACTCAACACCATGCAGCATATAACATGACGTAAATCCACCTATATATTTATATGCATATTTAGTGGTTACAGAATGAATACAAAAGGCTGTAGCAAACTTTGAGATGTTTCAGAAGTGGCCCAGAGAAGTGTGAGTAGAGTCTGCATTCACAAGACAAAGCACATGGGACCGTAAGGATGCCGGTGTTGTAGGGATTGAGCTCTGGGAGAATTGGGTTTAAGAGTGGAGATGTAATCAACTGTAGAGACAAGAAGGTACAAACTGGTCTGAACATGAAATGGTGATTCAAGTCTAAACAGGAAGGACATGGATAGGTAGGCAGTCGAGTAGGCCACATTAACAGCTATAGACAGAGCTAAGCCAAAGACCTGGGCACAGTCAGAGTTCTCTGCTGCTGGTCCTTGATGCACAGACCAAGCATCAGATGATAAGCTGATGTGGAGTTGTGTCTTCTAAGTGCTCAGTGTCTGACACTTATGGGGTCCAGGTGAGGGGGTTACTTACTTTCTCTGTTCTGGCATGTCTAGTAAGTTAGGAGCCTGGTTTTACTGGTAAGACTTTAATACGCCTATGTGCCCCTACAGTCTCAATCCACCCTGGTGGATTTAGATTTTGGTTGTACCCTTTGTGCTGTTAGGAACAAGGCAAGTGTCAGTGCATGCAGAATGGGTGGTGCCAGACACATGGTGGGTTTACTGATATATCCAGGAGCTCTGTCATCCACTGCTCTCAGGGGGTCAAAGCTGCTTGAAGGGCTACAGAGATGACCCGGTGGTTCAGAGGACTGGGTACTCTTCCAGGGAGCTGGAGTTTGGTTCTGAACACCCATGTCAGATAACTCGTAATCACCTGTAACTCTAGCTCCAAGGGATCTAGTACCCTCTTCTGTCTTTTATAGAAACCTTCACACATCACACACACACACACACACACACACACACACACACACACACACACACACACACACGTCCATAAAAATAGAAATACTTCTTTACCAAAAAAAAAATCTTTTTGTAAAATGGAGTGTCTTGGGGCTAGGCATAGCCTGAAAAAGACATTGTTTTATAGAATACGGAGTGACTTAGAGGAAGGCCCAGCCTGACATCAACACCTCGTGAGCAGAAGTCTCAAAATATTCCTGGGTTGGTAAAGAAAGCATAGACTCTGAACAAGGGTGGCAAAATCCCTTGAGTCATAAGGGATGGTGCACCTGAAACCCTGGAAAACATCCAGAAGTGAGTCCATCAAATGCAGGAAAGTTCATGCTAAAGATTCCTGGGACTTAGGCTTTGAAGTAATGAATGCTACATAACCTTTAGCAAAATTAATTTGCACACCAATTCTCTGTGTGGATTCTGTCTGTTGTGTGGATGCTAATGATGCCCATAGTGTCATCCACCAGGTCACCTCTTGTGGGATGCTTAGACACCTACAGTGACTGAATTGATCCTTCCAGGAGAGTTCTCTGGTGTCCTAGCTGACTTCGGGCTTCTTGTCCTGTGATTGTTGTGATTCCCTGCAGGCTACTTTCCATTTATTCAACCTCCCCTTCTCTCTCAACCTCAGATTCCTCTGTGTAGCTCTTCTTCACTTCCAGCCCTCTCCTCTCTAAACAATAGCCATAGAGTCAACAGTATTTATGTTAGGCCTGTGGAATATGATCTAGTGACTTATATTTCTGTAATACCAATTTTGCAGCTAGATTATAAGCTCTTCAGTAAATGACACTATATCGTATTTATCTTTGTAACCCCAGCACTTAACATGAATTTGTTCATCAAGGGAAAGATAGTAGCAAGTAATTATTGGATTTGGAGATGCAATAACTCACATACACACACTTCTTATTTTGTTTGTTTGTTTGTTTTCACACACAAACTTCTGCCTAAGGCTTTACTTAGATATCTTCACTGTTCTTTTAAGGTGGTAAGAATTTTTGTTCAAAAACATTTTGATTCCAATTATGTTATTTTATTAATGATCTCATTGAATATTCATAGCAACTTTTGGTGCATGCATGTATACGTGATATGAGTATGTGTGTGCATTTTTATATGTGCGTGGATGGGTACATACACACGTGTGTGTGCAGGTGTGGGAGGGGCTTCAGGTTATCATTAGGTAGCTTTCCAATTGCTCTTCTCCTTATATACTGATGAAGGGTTTCACACTGAACTTGGAGCTAGAAGTTGCCATATGCCTGATTAGCCACTTGGTTGCTGGGGTTCCCTGTCTGTGTCTCCCTCTTGCTAGGACTACAGACTACTTCTGAGAATCTGAACTTGGGTCCACATGCTTGCATGGCAGCATTTTAGCAGCTAGGCTACCTCTCCAGGCCCTTTGACCCTTTGTGTCTGGCTTTTTGAGGTAGGTAATGGAATCAGCCCTGTTTCATAGCTGAAGCAGCAGGGGCATAGTGAGATTCTTCCTGAGACTCTTGAGAAAGCCAAGGGTCCCTCAGTGCCCTCTTAAGATCCGTAATTGTTATTTGAAGATAATGAGATTTGTAATCAGACTAAATGAAATCCCCTTTATTTGGAGATCTGCATTGTAATTAAACTGTTCTAAATCCAGCTAAGTGCAAGCATTTTAAGAATATCTAAAAATAAAGTCTTATTTAATGACTAGTTTGCAATGTTTCATGTTCTCTTCCTCTGAGTTTATACTTCCTCAATTGAGCTTTGTATTTCAGTTGATTGCTACAGATTGGTATTTTGCAAACTCTGGTTTGTGATTCATTAGAGGATTACAAAATCGATTCTATGGGCTTAGCTGAGTTTTTTTTTTTTTT